TTTGTTTATTAAAATACTATTGTCCTGTTGTGTGAAGTATTAGATAAACTTCAACCAGGCCTTTAACATGATAAAAACTGTTTGAATATGGGTAGGAGTGTGTGATTTGCCTGCAAAAAGTTTCGGTGGCAATCAAGCATGAATGCGGGAACGTTATTCAAGCGTATGCGTTCCTCTTTTCTTGACTACATCTCTTTCCCTTAAAACGCAGACCCGTTCAACGTATTGTTATGTTGACCTTTGTATTGACCTTCAATGAAACGGAGTTCATTTTCGTCTTACGGCGGGTCTCTGAGGCTTTTCTTCTATTTTTCTTGAGAATTCCCAATTTAAGACGCGGCAAGGCAGCATGTGAAAGGACCTTGAAAACTGCAGAGGGGTCAGTATGACCGAGCAAACTACCAGTCACCCCTGACAAGTCAAATTAGGTCGCAGAGACCAAGAGGCGTTTTCAAGTCACTCTTTCTCGAGACCCAAGTATATTACGACAATGCAGACAGCAGCATCGCGCAGTTTCTGACAATTTGCATCCGATGAATGTGAGGGAGCGTCGGCACTATTTGACGCGCGATGTGTCATTTCAGGGCGCAAATCACATACTAAGCACAAGTCCACTGAGGCTGCCTCTTTTCAAATGCATCTTGCACGAACTGTTAGTGCGGGTGACTCTAGGCTCAGGGTATATGCTGAGTGCAGGGCCCGCTGCTTGTATCCTGCACCTGCCCCTCGGCAGTGCCAATTCGGGTTCAGGACTGATTCGACATCAGTCCTTTTTGCCAGATAGCACTTAGGATGTATTTTTTTCGTGTCATACAACGTTGCGACAACGCGGCTCGTGCAAGTTTGCCCGCCTCTGATCACTTGTCACGTGTCTGCTACGCCACTTTTGCTCCACGCGATCCGTTGTTTCTGGTGCTTGAACCTGGGGCCATCGGACCCAAGTCCGCGATCGCTCACCTTGGCCACATAACCCGACATATAACCTGACACGCCGCGCATGGTACCGACGGCACTTGCAACATCTTTCATAGTTTGACGCAGTTTCCTTCTGTTTTAGGCACGAACAAATAAGCGATGTATTTGCTGCGCAGCCAGTCTTGAACTACCTTTAACATCTCCTTCATCCCACGGCCCTCAAAGGTTTCGAATGGGGCAGATGGTCCATAGAAGAACTAAATCAAACCGAAACCAATGGTCATCATTGTGTGTCATTGGTCGAAAGGTTCAAAAAGAAATTTGGCAACAGGTGCATGCAAGGAAGTAACCAAGTAACCAAGAAGTAATACAAACCGCACGGTGTGGGCGAATGTGCTGTGAGCAAATCGGTGAACGATTTCATCACTATCCGCTCTACCAGTTTCACAATCACTGGTCGACCGGGAAGCAGCCAGTGTGACCTT